GCTCAAGCAATTTTCTTCCCTCATCCTCCCTAGTAGCTGGAACTACAGGCGCCCGCCACAATGCCCAGCTATTTGTTGTTGTTGTCGTTGTTTATTTAGCAGGTCCAGGCTGGGTTTGAACCCACTAGCCCTGGTGTATGTGGCTGGTGCCCTAACCACTTAGCATCAGATGCTGAACCAATATATTCTCAGTGGCACCTTATCCACTGAGCTATGGGTGCCACCCAAGCCAATATATTCCTGATAAACATACTCCAGTTATCTAGCAGTCTAAGGTTGAAAGGCAAAGATAAGACACTGGTCTGGGCTCAACAGAAGATAAGACCTTGAGCAAGACATCAATCCAGAATTTCTAAAGACATAAGCATGAGATCAATCAAGAGCTAAATGGTAAGGGAAGAAGAAATATTCCTACAGAGAAGAAAGAGGGAAGAAAATGGATACTAAATCAGGTTTTTAGGTCTTGTTGACAACTTCATATTCTTTTTCCGTTCTTCCTTCTATAACGGCTAATACATGATAGATGTATCTTTTTGCACATGTAGTAATCACGTATTTCCAAGAGACTTGCTAAAAATATGAAAGTAATGTGGCTAATTTTGTAAAATAAAATATAATCAATTTAGGAAATTCTTTTTTTATTTTTAATACTTCTTTGCTTCCAAATAGCTGCCCAGTCAACTAAATCTACATACAGGCACTGAACTACAATTGACCCTTGAACAACACAGGACCCAAACTACACAAGTCCACTTACGCATAGATTTTCTTCAATAAATCTATTAGAAAAACTTTTAAGATTTTCTACAATTTGAAAAATCTTGCAGACAAACCATGTAGCCTAGAAATACTGAAACAATAATAAAAAGTTAGATATGTTGGGGTGGCACCTGTGGTTTAAAGGAGTAGGGTGCCAGTCCCATATACCGGAGGTAGCAGGTTCAAACCCAGTGCCAGCCAAAAACTGTTAAAAAAAATTAGATATGTTATGAATGCTTTAAATATATGTAGCTACTAATCTATTTTATCATTTACTACCATAAAACATACACAAGTCTATTATAAAAAGTTAAAATTTACTAAAACTTACACATTTACAGATCCTTTCTGGAAAATGTGAACGAATATAAAGATGTAATATTAAATTATAACTGTATAACATTAACTGTAGTGCATACTGTATTGCTACAATAATTTTGCAGCCACCACCTGTTGCCATTATTATCAACATCTGCTTAAAATGCAGTGTGATGTTATTCCTCTATTATGAGCAGTTCGTCTCTCTCATAAATTACATATCACAGTAAACCGTGATCTCCCTCAGTTCTTGCATATTTTCCTGTATGTTTAGTACAATACTGTCAACCTTTAATAAGTACCACAGGACTTATCAAAGTGCCACTAGTGATATTCCAAGTTCTCCTAAGAAGCAGAGAAAAGTTATGACATTACAAGAAAACGTTGAATTGCTTGATATGCACCATAGATTGAGGTCTACAGTTGAAGTTGTCTGCCACTTCAAGATAAAAGAATCCAGTATAAGGACCATTGAGGAGGAGGAAGAGGAAGAGGTGGAGGAGGAGGGGGAGGAGGAGGAAAAGGAAGAGGAAGAAGAAGGAGGAGGAGGAGGAGGAAAGAAGGAAAGAAAGAAAGAAAGAAAAGAGAGAAATTTCTGAAGCCATCACTGCAGCTATACCAGCAGGCTTAAAAAATCATGCATTTTTGTGCAATAACTTTTTATCTCACTTGAAAATGCCATTTTTATGTGATGTTCAGGGTTGCTTTCAGAAAGGCACACCTATAGATACTATGATGCTTTGAGAAAAAGCAAAGTCACTCTGTGACAACTGACATCAAAAGAAAAGTAAATGATCTAAGCTGGAGAATTTAATATGATAAAGGGGATGGTTTGATAATTTTAGAAAGAGCTTTGGCTTTAAAGAACGTCAAGAGAACAGGAGAAGCAGCTTCTGCCGACTAAGAGGCAAAAGACAGTTCCAAGGCACTGTTAAAATTATCGAGGAAAGGATATCTGCCTGAATAGTTTTCTAATGCAGAGGAAAGTGCTTATTCAAGGGCGGGGGGCAGGGGCGTAAAATGGACACTTCTTAGTAAGGAAGAGAAGTATGCACACATGTAGGATTTAAGGCAGGAAAAAATAGCTAACTCTACGAATGCAGTTTATGAACAGTTCGTATTCATAGCTGCCCCTATCTATAAAGCTGTTAATGACCCCTGAGCCTTGAAAGGAAAAGATAAACACCAGCTGCCAGTCTTTCGGTTGTACAGAAAGAAGGGCTGGACAATGAGAACCCTTTTCTGGAGCAATTGTGTTGATACTTTGTCCCTGAAGTCAGGAAACATCTTTCCAGTAAGGGACTATCTTTTAAAGTTCCTTTAATATTGGGCAGTGCTCCTGGCCACCCAGAGACCCATGAGTTCAACATGGAAGGGAATGACATATCTACTCGCCACTTTTAACTCCACCTTTACTTCAGGAAGTCATGGTGACTCATTCCACAGGGCTCATTACACCAGTCACTCTATGGAGAGGGCTGTCAACGCTAGGGAAGAGAACCCCAACAGAGAGAACATCATGAAAGGAAGGATCACGCCATCGAAGATGCCATCGTTGTTATAGAAAAAGCTATGAAATCCATCAAGCCTGAAATAAAAAATATTCCTCCTGGAGAAAACTGTGTGCAGATCCTGTGCGTGACTTCAAAGGGTCAACAATAGAGCCCATCAAGGAAATCACCAAAGACATTGTGGATATGGCAGGAAACAAAGGTGGGAGATCAAGGGGTTTCAATGTCTGGATGCTGGCAAAACTCAAGAGCTAACAGACAGCATACCTGAGGAATTACCAGAAGATGACCAAATGCAGATGAGCACTTCCCAACCAGTGCCAGATGATGAGGAAGAAGCAGCAAGCGTTAGACAGTTGTGACTTCTTTTATGACATGGACCCTTCTACTATAGGGACACTAAAACTAAAGCACATGGTGAAAGAAGGAAGAAGGTGGTACTATATAAACTATCATGTAGCATTAAAAAAGCAAAAGAAAAAAGTCAGACAGAAATTATGACGTATTTCCATTGCATTACACTGACAGTGCCCACCTCCTACCCGCTCCACCTCTGCCACCCCCAAGACAGTAAGACCAACCCCTCCTCTCTCTCTCCTCAGCCCTCTCAAATGAAGATGACAAGGATGAAAAGCTTTATGATGATTCAATTCCACTTAATGAATATATTTTTTCTTCTTTATGATTTTCTTAGTAACATTTTCTTTTCTCTAGCTTACTTTAAGAATATAGTAACTTTACATACATGTAAAATATGTGTTAATTGACTACTTATCTTACCAGTGAGGCTTCCCATCAACAGTAGGCCATTAGTAGTTTGGAGGAACTAAAAAATTTTAAATAGATTTTCCACTTCATGGGGCGTCAGTGTCCCTAATCCCTGCATAGCTCAAGGTTCACTTGTATTCAATATTAAACAAGTATATGTGGGAAATTAATGAGCAGGATTGTTTAGGGAATTATTCCAGAGGCTCAGTTGCCTATAAATGAGCTATGTGACGTGAGAAATTCTCTCCATGGGAAAAGTCATATCCAAGCTTACTTCCCTCAGATCACACGGGCAGTGCCCCCAGCTTTCCCAGCACTACGCAAAACACTGCCTGGCTTCTAGGCCCAATATTTATTCCTATCACCATTCCCACATACTCCCCCCAACTACACACATTACAAGGCCACTTTTATTCTTGTAACCAGGATGGGGGCCTGACTGGTGAATTCCTGTGTTATACCAGGCTCCATTCCACCTGGGTGTGCCTTTCCATACCTACTGTCTTTCATACTCGTGAATTCCAGTCTTGACTAAGTGACACTTGCTGGCTGTTACCTCAGTTGACTAAATCACCATGTGATCTTGGTAAAAATCATGTTCTCTCCTTCTGAGCCTCAGTTTCCCATCTGCAAAGTAGACTAGACAGCCTAAAAATCTATGATATCTTATGCATTATATAAGATATATGTCACAGATACATGTAATTGTATATTAATATATTAATGTAATGATATGCTGTTTTTATGATGTATTATAATATATAATGTTATTAGATTATTTTATAGAACCATAATTATACAGAGCAGCCATAAAGTTCATGTGCAAATTAAATAGTTAGGAACTTTATGGTCACCCTGTATAGTATTAATTGCTACCATTTTTTTAAAGCTCCCACCACGTGTCAGGACGGACTTCCTCCTCCCTGTGCCCCACCAACTTCTGCCTAATCAGGCTAGCTCACTCCTCGTGCCTGTCTCACCATGGTTGTCAGCTCCTCCTGGAAGTCTTCACCAGCTTTCCCTAGGTTAGGCCAGATGCTCCTGCTGCCCTCATAATTCCCTGTATCACGTTATCCTTATCCCATTATATTGGAATTGCCTGATTGATTGTTGATCCCTCAAAATAAGAGTATAAACTCCACGATAGGAGGGTGATCAATTGTCTTGTTGCTCTTTATATTGCCAGTACCCAGAATGGTGCCAGTAGGCACTCAATAAATATTTGTTGAGTAGCTAATTAACAGTAGTCACGGCTTGGCACCTGTGGCTCAAGTGGCTAAGGCGCCAGCCACATACACCTAAGGTGGCAGGTTTGAATCCAGCCTGGGCCCGCCAAACAACAATGATGGCTGCAACCAAAAAAATAGCCAGGTGTTGTGGTGGGCACCTGTGGTCCCAGCTACTTGGGAAGCAGAGGCAGGAGACTCGCTTGAGCCCAGGAGTTGGAGGTTGCTGTGAGCTGTGATGCCACAGCACTCTACCCAGGGGGACAGCTTGAGACTCTGTCTCAAAAAAAAAAAAAAAAAAAACTAGGCACATTATACATACAATAGGAAAAAAATGAGCAGCTTACTATAATGACTAACGTTTAAATCCGTTAGTTCACACTTCCTCTCTTAAACGATATAAAAAGCAGCAAAAAAAGCTCAAGTGAAACTGACTCTGCTAGAAGCGAGCTGTTTGTACACAGATAAGACTCTGGGGAAAGATGGCTCCACACCACGTATGGATCTTGCTCCTTTGCCTGCAAACCTGTGAGTTCTGACCCTTGCTAATCCCTTCTTCATTTTCCATATAGTTTTAGAATTGCCCTTAAGGAAGACATTGATGTGTTCCTTTGATCTGTTTTTAACAGAACACCCTGAGTCTTAGTGGGTACTGTGCTCTGTGCTCAAGAGATGCATGCATCTGGCCGGGGAAAGACATATGGTCCAAATCCAAGTGTTTTTCAGCTTTAAAGTTTCTATTTCTGAATTTTATCTGGGCTCAGTCTCCACAAGTCTGGATAAATCCATCTCAGAAGAGTCAGCACTTGGTAAACCCACCTACAAAGCCTGGCAAAAGAATAGATCATCCAAAACCGTGAATGACTTAAAAGCAATTTCTTTGTGGCATTAGGATGTGTCATATGGTTGTTGACAAAGATGTGTCCTTCCTAATTATAGTTCTTTGCTCTATCAGCTTAAAATAATGGATGGTTCCTTTTTATTATTGTGAAAAACCTTGTCTCTATTAGTTCCCTTCATTTTCAAGAAATATTTAGGGCTATAACTCTGCTTTTATCTTTCAAAAACTCTACAGTAAATGGGAAAGAGATTATCATCTTTTTGTTAACAAATAAGTCTCAAAAAAGAGGTGGAGAGCTTGAAATAAAAATCCTATTTTCTTACTTTTATGGCTTAACAAGAAACAACAAGGGACAAAATTAATATTGATTGTTATAGGTACAAAAAAAAGCTAAGCAACATTAATACAGGTCTGAGAGTGCTTTATCATTGCACATATTAGCTTACTAAATCCAAGCAATTGCCCTGGATTAAACAAAAATGTATTATGTTTGGAATTTCTAAATCTACTTCTAGTATCTCTTATTAGGTCTGAAAATTCACTAGCAAACTCCTGGCATGAATGAGAACCCAGGGAACTCAGTGGGTTAGGATTTTCTGAAAAGGTAGAATCAATGCACTGTGGTCCTTCTGATGCCCTTAACCATTGAAGGCTGTGGCTCCTTCATGGAAGTTGCGTCCACTAGTTAGGCCAAGTTTTCAGAGCCTCTGCTAATCACTATAGCATGTCAGACAGAAAATACAAGTACATGGGGAAAACAGGTGAATCTAGCCATGTTCCTAATCTTCCAGAGAATGGCTGGAGAGAGTGGCATTTGCTACGGCTTAATTCACAAAGCATTCTACAATTTTTATGCCTACATTTTAATCTTATCCACACTAAAATCATTGAATGGGTGAGATAGATATTATTAATGCCACTATGCAGTAACAACAATAAAAAAATACACACACAAAAAGAGTAAAGACTGAGAGGTTTAATAATAATCACCTGAAGTTTCACTACATAAATTGATAGGGCTAGAAATGGGCATACATTCTTTACTCCCAAGTCTCTTTCTGTGTCACCTGACCTCCTGACTCATTAAGTTTTCAAATCCTTGATTTCTCCAAAGAGTTAACATCCGCTAAGATAAAAGGCAGCTCTGGGATACACTTCTTTCATCTACTGAAACTGAAATCAAAGTTGCAAATCACCCAGTAGTGAACGATTTACCTAGCTTTGCGATCTTGAGGCAGTCATAGAACCTCCAATTTTGTTGTTTCTATTACAAAATGGGAAAAGTATTAATATAATAAGATTGTTTTGAGAATTGAAGTGATAATGCATGGATAACACTTGGTACAGTTCCTGAATATGTTAAGTGCTTAAGAAATACTAGCTAATGTTGTTGTGGGTTTTTTCATGCGTGCCATTTTATGCATTATGCAAGAGTCATGGCTTTGTTATACAGAGATTCTGGGCAGGACTCCTCTGTTTAGGCTGAATATAAACAGGAGGAAAGTTGGTGGGAGTTTGAGCTTAGGCATGGTCTGTCAGGATTCTGGAAAAGGAATCCAGAGGTGAAATATTCACATCATCAGGGATCCAGAAATAGGGAGGGGGGCGTGTTTTCATAAAATTAAAGCCAGGAAAACGTTCATATGCCATTCACCTTTACTGAATAAAACTGTGTGACTCTTAAAGATTATTCCACAAACATTTCCTGAGCCCAAAAATAGACAAACAATTCCTCCTGCTGCTGTTCCCAGTAGAGGTGATCTTTTATATTCAGTATTGGGCCCAGAACTCAGTCTAATTTTATACATTTCCCTGGAATTCAGAACAGCTGAAGAGGCTGAGAAGCAGTGAGGAGACACAGTTAGAAATCCTTATTTTCCCTGAAGTCTGACACAAGGGAAGTCTGAGTGTGCAAACTCATGACTGTGGCATGTTGGAAAAGTTTCTCCAAGAGTCAGGACTCACAGTCTTATGCTCTGACCTGGACTTTCTGATTATGCCTTTGAAACCACTGTGACTCTGACTGTCCCTCCACATATCCGAGTAGCTACTCACACTCTGGGGCAGAAGATAGCTGAGTCCACCAGTTCTGCTTCTCGCCCATCTACTATACAGGTTCTCTCTCTCACTCTTTTAATTCTTCCTTTCTTCAATTTCTTCATCACTTCTTATCTACCATCAGTAACCATTTATAGAGAAATCACTACATGCCTGGCATTACTCTGAGTCGTCTCCAGTTATTATTTTGTTTAATCCTCACAATATCCAATAAGATGGGTCCTATTGATACACAGAAAGTCAGAGGTCATTTAATAAAAAGTGGAGGAAACGGGATTTAAAGTCCAGTGTCTTGGACTTAACCACTGCTTTCACTTACCTCAGTGCTAAGATAGAGTAAAATACCCTCCCCAATACTGAAGGTTATCACATTTAGTAATTTGGCCGTGAAGAGTGATGATTTATTAATTTCAAGCTAATCAGGATTACTCAAGTAGAAGCTTCACCTGTCTATACACCCACCTGCAGAGGGAGCAGGGGCTCTTGATGGTCCTTGCCAATGATAGAAGTTTAGGCAGCCTAGCAAGGCAGAATGTCCAAGCAAATAACCATCTCCAGACATGGTTCAAGTACCATTCACTTCAATATGACTTGGATTGACTTGAATTAGCATCTTTAAAACAAACAAAATCAGGGATCCTCAAACTTGTTAATCAGGGGGCCAGTTCACTGTCCCTCAGACCGTTGGAGGGCTGGACTGCGGGCCCCAGGACGAGTCGGCTGCTAAGCAAGACAGGCAGCAGTGGCAAAAATACCCAGTGGGCCGGATAAATGTCCTAGGCCGGCAGCATATGGCCTGCAGGCCGTAGTTTGAGGATGCCTGATCTAGATCATCTTGATAACCTGTTGGATGTAGAACACAGTCATGGGCCATTCTAGCATTTGAAACTTGAAAGTCCAAGAGGTTAATGGGCCCCACCTGGATACCTGTTCATGGATAACTGGATCCAAACCATCTTCCTGGGATCAGAGATGGGATCCATGCCTGGGGTGTGGTACTGGCAAAATCCCACCTGCCACTGGTCTGAAGTCCTTCAGAGAGGAAGCTTCAAGATGAAGACATGGCCTCTATTCCAGAAAGAAATTTGAGCAGGTGACTGTCACTAACATGCAGAAAGACCTCTAAAGCAGAAGCCTGGTTACAGAAATAGAAATATATTATGTATAAGGAAAATTGGTTATAAAGACATCAGCTCAAAAACCAAACAGAGCCCAGAATGTTGCACCTTGTTACAACCCAGGACTCCCATGGGAAAGAGTAGAAACTCACCTTGTCAGCCTGATCTGCTGAAGCAGCCCTGGAGATCAATATGGAGACCAAGGAGGCAGCCAGACCATCTTCCCAACAGAAGTCCAGGGCCTAGTGCTAGGCCATTCAGGCTACTAGAGTATTCCTGAATCACTTTCTTATCTGGAACCACCGAGAAGGATAAATCCACAAGTTTCGGAGCTATCTAGACTCATTTATGTAGAACCTGGAAAAGAAAAAGGTGCGAGCAATCAGATGGAGGGGGTGATGTTGGTGAAACTGTTTAGGCAACCACATCTCCTCTGCTATACTCAATGGTCAGGCATACACTAGCAAAGGAGAGGAGTGGTAAAACAGGGATGGCCATGACCCATTACTGTTTTGAGATTTCTTTTGTGTGTGTATATGTTTTTGTTTTGAATAAACTGTTTCAAGTCAACCCAAATCTCAATAAAGATGATATCAAGTAAAAATCCCAGGGGAAAAATAACATGCTATTATTTAGAATGGTAGTTTCCTTTTTCTTGAAAACCTCATGACCAAGGACTTTCCATTGTCATGGAGAATAACACAAAATGTCTGGCTGCCCGAGACTTTTCTTCCTCCTTCCTTCTTCATCCCTACACTTAGAGTGATGAGTTCTGACAGATCTTGTGGACTGAGCAACCACAAGATGGTAGAGCAACCTCTGGTCACTCTCCTAGGCCTGCAATACTCAGGGAGGGTCCATCCACACTTTTTGAGGCAGTGGATGAAAAGAGGAAGAGAAGTTTAGCTGCTGCAATTAAAAAAAAAAAATGCTTATTTGAAGGATCCTAAAAAAGCAAGGGGGAGGTGTCTGTGAAGAAACAGTACAATCTTCCTCATTTCCACTCTTATTAATAGCACTTGCTCACTTTCCCTAACATCTCCCCAGGACGCCCACATTTCTTTTTCCCTCAGAGTTGTCTAGGGTGTTATTTAATGTCTGTGATGATACTTATTTGTTTTATATAAGAAACACATATAGCGCCTGGTATATGGCAGGCATTGTTTTAAGAGGTTGCCAAATAACACCTCATTTGGCCCTCATAACACTTTCGTGAAGTAAGTGCTACTTTGGCTTTCATTTTAAAGTTGAGGAAACCAAGGCATAGAGATGTTATTAACTTTTCCAAGTGCAGTTTTTTGACAAACACATGGCCAGTATTTGTCAAAGCCAGGAATCAAGCCACACAGTCTAGTTCTTTTTTTTCTTTCTTTTTTATGATTTTCTTTTTCAAATTAATATTGAGGGTACAAATTATTAGGTTAAGTTACATTGTTCTCACTTCCAAGGTAAAGTTCAAGTTGTAGTTGAGCCCATCACCCAGGAGGCTTGCTCAACACCCTCACATTGTG